ATATATTATACATAATTTCAGTATATTTTATACATTTTTTACGAATATTAAAACGTATTATTACCGTATACAATTCCATATATAAATTTCTTATAGGGCAGAATCTTGCGAAATAATAAGTGATTGGTTAGGAGATGATTCAAGTGATATATCTATTGTATCTTTTTTTTACTTCTAAGTCTCCACCTACTATTTTCGATGAATTATCAGAAACACAAATAGACTTAGACCCTGATGCTTTCTTTTTTTGCTTATCCTGCGGTTAGCTCGAACGAGCTGACTCATGTACTAGAAATGAATCAGAAGTATGAAGTTTTGCTTTTTTGTCTATACTAAGAATTTTTGCCAATACATACTTTTTACTCTATTATGACTATTTACAATTGTTCCATATATCATAAATGCGCTCTTTATATATATGATAATCCCTCACTATCATATATGTAGGAACCTTATTTTTGAGATGCCTAATTTCTTCGATTTGCTCAGGCGTCAACTCAGTAGCACCTCGACAATAATGAGTTTGTAAAAATGGGTTGGCCATGCAATTCTTCCAGTAATTTTATAACAATAAAAATGATATTTTTTTAACGATATTTATTATTTTTAAATGATAGAAAATGATATAAATGATATAAAACGCTACGGAACGACATAAAATGATATTTATCGTATTTATAACATTAAAAAATAATAAAAAATGATGGAAAATGATATTTATTATTTCATATCGATAAAAAACACTATCCTCAATCCCCATGACTAAAATTTCAATCGAGAGTCTCAATCACAATAGTCATAAGAAGAAACAAAGGATTGAATTTTTAGTTACTCTTATCTTTTTTTATTGCTTTATAACTGGACGTAAAATATGAGAAATGTGCATACCCTGAAAGATATTAGTTCAGGCTATCGCCTGGGTAGTGCTTGTGAAACAGAACTTGAGAAGATGTTACGCAACAGTATCAAATCCATTTCCAAGCTTACCAATGAATATAATGACATGCAGAGGGTGTATTCAAGCTATAGTAAAAGAAATGATCAAGACAAAGCCAAATTGCACTGTAATCTAGAACAAGCCAAGACTAATAATAGGAAACTCTCCGACCGCATCCATCAGCTTATAGATGAAATATCACAACTACGATCAAAGATGGATTCTTTAAATTTTCAGATTACTCGCAAAGATATTACTCTTGCAGATTCTAAGGACAAACTCGCTACAAAATCAAAAGAGATAAAAACCCTCTAATCCAAGTTGAAAGCATTAAAGAAGAATTCTTTCTTAACTCAAATGAACTTATCTGAGATGGATTTCCCCAGACTTGAATTGAACAGGCGAGGGGTGATTTGTCTTCAAAAAAATATGAATTGGAATGTATGGAAAAAGTGATAGAGTCATCAAATAACATATTCAAACGGGAAATAAATGCTTTGTCTTCAGTGCGATTAAATTCAATGGAGGAAAATTCTCATCTTCAAGAGATAATCTCAAAAAAAGATAATGAAATAGCAGAGCTTTCTATCCCCCCACCTCCGCCTATGAACGATTCAACGCAAAAGCTACCAGATTGGCTTAGTGACGATTTAAGACCTCTCATTTATGAGCTCAGTCTTGAAAATAAAGTTATGGAATTCTATAAAAGTTTTGCTAGAGAAAATATATTAGAGGCTTTGCAAGAGCTATTATCGCGAGATGAGATAATTATGGGAAGTCAGGCAGATATCCTACCTAATCAATATGTTTATAGTCAACCAACACATTCTGAAAAGTATATTTCGAGTGAAGAGGTTGCGAAGCAATTAGGTAGCACCGAAGCTGTATCTTTACCAGCAACTGCTCCTATTATTGCGAGCTCCTTGATGTCACCGTTGATAATATATTCCATACTTGCTTTACTACTTATTGCAATTATATGGCTTGTGGTTGGAAAAAAATACAGGATTCATAAAAAAAAAAGTAATGCTGAGTATTCTCCTAATTGGAACTATTTTTTATCATCTTCAGCATTTCCAAGGTCAGGTTATATAATCGGAAGCCAGAAGATCGAATATAGAAATTGAAGTTAGTCAGTATTATTGCATAAGAAAAAAATATATAAACAATATTATTGAATCGCCTTAACGGCTAAGTATTCTTAGTTGAAATTGCCTCACCTTCATTAGAATACTTAATAATACAATTCGATGATATCGTCTATATCAGCTTCGGGCAAATCATCTTTTTTATCTTCCTGTAACTTCGATAACGCTTGATAGCGTATAATTTCTAGACCAACTACCATATACCATGTATTTCACAAATCAGTTAGTAAATCATATCCATTTTCTAGATTATATGATAACATGTATCTTTCTAAAGACATAGCTTCCGATTTGCACTTACTGACCTTAGTAACTAATTTATACATTCCATCTTTACAGCCAACATCGATCTTAGAAATTTCTGCGAGTAATGTTGTTAGCTTTAAGCAGATGGATTCTTCTTGCTTGTCTAATGCATTGAGGTAGGAAGACCAATAAGCATCATTTCCTGAGTATTTTACTATTTTATCAGCATACGTGCTATTAAATAAATTTTTCGCATAAGTATTAGCCTCTTTTCACAGAAGAAATATGATGGCATGATCTTTTTTTGGACTAGTATGTAGCTCTTTGATATACCCTCTAACCCATTTTTTAGCCGATTTCTGCATTAAGGCATCTCTTATTTTTGATATCCCATCTTCATCCATTTCATTTTCATTCACGTTGTCTTTGTCCACTCCACCGTCATTTGCTTTATTATCACCTGTTTTATTACCATCTTTTAACTTTTTTAAGGCTTCCAGAACAGCTTTGGGTAATGGTTGGTATATATCTTCATAATTTATAAAACGTGCACAGAGGCTGACAACACTATTCAGATAATAACTAATATCAATCTTTTTACCAAGTTGTCTGGTTACTTCTGGGTACTCCATTTTATCACCTACCTTCCGTGATAAATCATTTTCAACTACAACATATTCAAATCGCTCACCTGGTTCTGGGATTTCATAAAGAAAATTCTCAGGTGTTAGGCCCTTTTTTATAAACTGTTTTGTGTCTACTTCTTCACGAGTATGTCTATCCCGCATTCATGACATAAAGCGCTGGACAGACTTATTATCTTTGTCTGGTTTCCAGACAGCAGTTTTAATTAAATAATTAAGATCTATTCGAGAAATATCCTTTACAGATTTTCTAAGAACATCCTCTATGATTTGATGCAAGGTACTTATATTATTCCCCTTTAAAGATTCATCCATAATACGCTTTCCTATTTTGCGAAAAAGAGTAGATTGACCTTATTTCATAATCTCAACCCCCGAATAAAAGGCTTTTTATTAAAGTTTGGCTTGCTTTCATGTGGGATACCATAGTATTTTTTCTTTCCAGTAAATACTACTGGAAATAAGACTTCCTCATATGCCATTTTAAGATAAGAGGATCCGTTATCTTCCTTGAGAAAGACATTAACTTCATCACGGAGTTTTTTCATTTTCACTATAGAGATTTCTACCATTCAAGACCAATATTCTTCTTTTGAGATCCCGTTGCCACTATCATAAGCCTCATCACACCTCTGGAAGCGTTCTTCTGGACAGACTAGATACAAGAAATTCGTATCCCTATATTTTATCCCAAATTCCTTTCTCTTGATAAAATCTGCAATGAGTTTGATATTTCTTTGTCCAGCTGAAGTAAAACCCCCAGCAAGTTCACGTAAGAAGAAAATAAAGTAATTTAGATGAATATGTGAAAAATAATTTTTTTCAGTAATAATAAATATCACTATAAATATAGTGATATCTGTCTGATAACTAAAAATTTTAATTTTATTTTAAGTAAAATATAATTTATTTAGTAAAATAAGTTCAAATTAACCTTAACTTAAAAATTTTTTTTTTAATATTTCCTTCTTTTCTACTATAAAGCTCCTATATATTTATATAATAAAAAAATATACTATATATATAAAATATATAAAACATAAGAAATATATGATATAGAAGATATATATAACATATTAGTTACTGCAATTATATATGTTATTTAAGTTATTATTATATCATATTTGTGTAATATTATTAAGAAAATTTTATTATTATAATTTTTTATAATTCATTAATAAAATTTATGTTTTTATTAGTAATAAATTATTTAATTAGAATTAAAATTGAATTTTTTAAAATCTTAATAAAAATTCTAATTAAATTTTTGATTACTAATAAAGTTTGATAAAAAATAATATTAAAATATTAAAATTTTTAAAAATTTTGTATTATTAATTAATTGTAACTAAATTTGAAAAAATAATTTTACTTATTATTATTTAAATAAATCATCAAAATTATAAATATAATCTTTTTATATTTTATAATTTTATTAAAATAACCTTTATTAATTTCTTTATTTATTTCTTTATTTAGTTAATGTTCCTTTTTAGATTTATTCTAAAATCTGTAAAAAAAATTATTTTTTAAAAAAATTAACGCCCGGAGTGGGGCTCGAACCCACGGCCTTAAGGTTTCGTACCGAAATCGTCGGATAAAAGCCTCACGCTCTACCGACTGAGCTATCCGGGCATCTACGATTTTTAATGAATTTTTATTATTATTGAATAAATATTTTCATTTGTCAAATTTTAAGAAAAATTTTTGTCACGTTGTGTAACTAATCACATTAGGAATAAAATAATATAATCTGTGCTATTTTAGATCTTTGATGACTTTCGGAGACTTGTTAATTTTGCAGAACTTGGATCATGTGAAAATACATTTAAATTCATTTAGATTACAAATTTATTCAATGATTGGAATAATTGAATGTAATTAGCGTTATTTTCTTATTTTGTGATCAAAAAAAAAAATTTTTTTTTTTTTTGGAGTAATGGATTTCTAAATTTAATTTTTTCTAAAGCAACAAAAGATAAAACGATATTCAGCTAAAGCCGCATCTTGTTCTTTATTTAGATATACATTATGAAGCCACCAATTGTAATTTTCGGCAATTAGTTTGCCAAATTAGTTTGTTCAGAAGATAAATCTCGTGTTACATTAATTTATATTTAAAAAAGAAAAAAATTTTTTTTTCTTTAGGCTTTTAAAAATCATTTTCCTTTTTTTTTTTAAAAAAAAAAAATAAAAAAATTCTAAACCGAAACAAAATAATCAAATAATTTATTTAATGGAAGCTATCGTAAAACAATGTAAAAAGGCATGTCCCTTTTTACATAATTCTACTACAGCCACTCTTAGTAAACTTTCACGTATGCCAGCTCCAGCTGGTTTTGCCTTCGAAGTAAGCGGTAATGTTCGAGCAAATGCTTTGACTACCATGGCACAAAAATGCCCAGTTATGGGAAAAGCAATGGCAATTCAAAGCAAAAGTTATTTGCGTACTTCCGCCAGATTAGCGAAACAACCTACCCTTCCCTTGAAACAAGCTGCTTTAATTAATAATGAAAACGAAGCACGTGTTGCCGCTGCCGTCATGGCTGCTTTACATCCAACAACCCATTCGACTCATTCTAGACCATTCGATTATGAAACACTTTATAAGTCTGAATTAGAAAAAAAACATCAGGATAAAAGTTATAGATATTTTAATAATATTAATCGTCTCGCTAAACAATTTCCGAAAGCTCATACTGCTAACCTCCAAGAAGAAGTTACTGTTTGGTGCAGTAATGATTATCTTGGAATGGGAAGAAATCCCTTAGTTCTAGAGTCTATGCAGTAAGTTTTATTAAATTTTGCTTATTAATAAATTTATCAAATTAAATAAATCATCGTTCTAAAAAATAAACTTTTTTATTATAGAAAAACCATGAACAAGTATGGGGCAGGAGCTGGTGGTACTCGTAATATTGCTGGGAATTGTAATTTACATTTACAACTTGAAACTGAATTGGCGGATCTTCATCATAAACCTGCAGCACTTGTTTTTTCTTCTTGTTATGTTGCTAATGATGCAACATTAAGCACGCTAGCATCAAAATTACCAGGATGTGTAATTTTTTCTGACGCATCAAATCATGCTTCGATGATTCAAGGAATTAAACATTCAGGAGCGAAAAAAACGATCTTTAAACATAATGATTTACAAGATCTTGAAACAAAATTGCAATCGGTTGATATTCGTATACCAAAAATTATCGCTTTTGAAAGTGTTTATTCGATGTCAGGATCGGTTGGACATATTGAAGAAATTTGTAATCTTGCTAAGAAATACGGTGCAATTACATTTTTAGATGAAGTTCATGCTGTTGGTATGTACGGACCTCGTGGAGCTGGTGTAGCTGAGCATTTAGATTTTGATTTAAATGCTCGTTATCCTCATGGAAATAATGGTGGCATCCTTGATAAAGTTGATATTATTTCTGGTACTCTCGGTAAAGCTTTCGGGGTTGTGGGAGGTTACATAGCCGGTTCTGCTGCGTTAATTGATATGATTAGATCTTATGCTCCTGGATTCATTTTTACCACCTCCCTTCCACCTGTTGTTGTATCTGGTGCCAAAACTTCTATTCAATATTTAAAAGAATCTACAAAAGAACGCGAAAAACAACAACTCAATACTCGATTACTCAAAAGTCGCCTGGCTCAATTAAATATTCCTGTGGTGCCAAATCCTTCCCATATCGTGCCTGTACTTGTTGGTGAAGCTGAAGCTTGTAAAGTTGCTTCTGATCAATTATTACGTGAACATGGTATCTATGTTCAATCGATTAATTATCCAACTGTATCTAAAGGAGAAGAAAGGTTGAGAATTACTCCTACTCCTGGTCATAATGAACAAATGACTAATCATTTAGTTGATGCTTTAGAAAATATCTGGAGAAAGAATGGTTTTAAGCGGGTTAACGATTGGAAAAACGAAGGTGGTAGAGCTGGTGTCGGTATTAATGCACCAAATCCTAAACCTATTTGGACTGATGCTCAATTGAGGCTTGTTTCCGGTCGTGGCACCACTGAAATTAATCCTAATCTTGTATTTAATGATCGTGCAGCAGTCTCCGAAAATAATCCTCAGGTTATGGGAATTACTACGTATTAAAATTTTAGCAAAAGATTTATTTAAAGTCGAATATGTTGAGTTTATAAATTTCAATATATTTTCAACGTATTTTTATTATTTAATTAATAAAGTTCACAAGAAATATTGTTTAAAGTTGGATTTTTTTTTGTTTTTTTTCCGGTGAATTAAAAGATTTTTTTATTATTATTTTTGCTTCGTTGATTATCATAAAAATTAAATTTTTGATGTTCCATAATTTAGTATGAACCAATGAAATGCATAAAACTAAATTATCGAATTATCGATATCTTTTAAACGTATTAGTAATTTGTATAAGTTTTTATTGTAACGTGGCAACATATCAATTGATATATTCTATTTATGTATATTAACTTCCTTTTATGGTTTTTATTGTAAAATGGTTTTATATATATATATATAACAAAGAAATATTTTATTATAGATTATCATCAAATCGGTATTATAAACTGAGTTTAGCAATTTAAATTCGGATTCTCGCCAGTAAACCATTTACATATTAGCTTTCAAATTAAGATTTACCGGAACAAATTTAGATTGCGAATTATTGATTGTTTATAATGAAATGAATGAGAATGGAATAGTTATATAAAAATTTAAACTTAACCTTATAGGTAAGCTAAAATTAATATTTTTGATGTCGGATTATTTAATCAACCGAATTTATCTTTTAATTCCATACAAAGTATTTAACTTATCAGATTTTAAGAACTGGATATAAATTTTATTTTTAAAATTTTTAGTTTGTTTTTATTTTCATATTATTAATGCGTTTTTGATTACTTTAATATAATAATTAGATTAATAAATAGTTTAATCGGTTTTTTTTTGTTTAATATTATTAAAACCAAATCTATATAATTATTAAGATTTTAGATTTTTTAATAATATCATTTTCTTTTAATAGAAATTACTAAAATTAAAATTTCTTTTAAATTTATATTAAAAGTTATTTATTAAAAGATATTATTTTATATTCTTTAATTTTTATTTGCAATTTTTACTTATTAATTAAGATGGTCCCAAATGATTGTGAATAAATTTAGAAATTATAAGTTATAGAAAAGTCTAATTACTTATCTATAATAAGTAACTTTTAATAAAAAATTGTTATATGAATAACTTATAAAAAAATATGAATTACGAAATCAACAATTTCTATAAAATTACTAAGGTGGGATCCAATCCTTAGAATCAAGTCCTAAGTTTAAAAATTAAAATTCTGGATTCTCACATAAGTTTAATATTTATATTTAATAAATATTCTATTAATATAGTATAAAATCATTTGTTCCTTCTGGTTTTAAAACATCTTCTCCTATAGACTCAACTAAGGTTTCAGATTGGATTGCTCTTTGAATCTCACCTGAAACAAACTTTTATAACTTATCCTACCTTAAACAGACTATTTTTGGAAAATCATACAAATCTCTATTTTTTCCTGATAATATATTATCATTAGAAAGTAAAATATAATGCTAGTAATCTAAAAATCTTTTCTAAAACTGATAAGTTTTAAGGACTATTTAGTACCATTTTAACATTTTTAAATTAATTTTATAAAAATTAAAATTAAAAGTTATATGTATTTTTTATTATTTTAACTTTATTATAATTAAAGATGTTTTTTTGAGTTCAAAATATTTATGATTAAACTATTTGTTTATAATAAATATCTTTATCTAAACTTCAAATAGGTTTTCTTAAATTTAATTAAGTTAATCAAGTTTTAAAAAAAATCATTTTAAAAAGTTTCTAAATTTAAGCTATATGTTAAAATAAGTTTGAATAGTATCATTAATCATAACCTTTTTTATTGATATCAGTATTATTAATATTATCATAATTAGTTTTAAAATATTTCTATTTCTGATAATGTTTTTAAACAATTTAAAGTAATATAATCTCATTAATTTTAAAACTTATGATTAGCAAATTTTGAATATTTTTTTACTTTTACTTTTTTAGATTAATAAATTTATTTTTTTGAAACAATATAACTCAACTAAAATATAAAGAAGGTTTTTTTTTAGAAAAATGAGGCATTAAGCATTTTTATAAAATTTTAATTTTATTGCATTTATCAGTAAATTTAATAGGACATAATATTACATAAACTTATATTCTGTAATATTACGAAAACTTACGAGGTAAGATTATGTAAATTGTATATTCATAATATTCTATAACATTAAGATATAGTACCACATAATATTATGGAATGTAAACTATGTGAAAGTTTATAGCGTAGTACTTTATAACATTACAGTGTAATATTATGTAGAACTTACAAAAATACAAGAATTTTGAAAGTTTACAGTATGTATTTCATAACATTATGGTATAATATTCTGTAAAATTTACAATAATACAAGAATTTTGAAAGTTTACAGGTAAATTAACGTAGTTTATAAAAATTTATGGCGTCAATTCGTTTATAATATTTATTTAAAACTTTTAGTCATGTAATATTTCGTAATTTATTGAGTTTAATATATTTAAATTTATTTA